ATCCGACTGCCTGGCAACCGCCGGACCGGACATGTTCGTCGATCAGCAGAAGCACATTGGAAAAAATCCTCCACACACCAAAGCCCAAGGACATGGCAAGCGACGAGATCGTTGTCATCCACACAGACCATAATGGCACCTTCCCGAAATAACCCATGGCCCAGCACGGGAAGATTTCCAATCAAGAATCATGCCCCTCGTCACCGGGTACTAATGCGATGCGTGCGAAACCAAGGCCTTATCAACTACATCATCCAGACATATCAGAAGACATGGAACAAGGCACAGGAAACCATTGCGGACTGAGGGCTGCAAAATGGGGACATCCAGTCAATCGTACGTCATCACCTCTATATGAAGACTGGACCCGGGTATGACAGAACATTTCCCGACTGCATGATGACATTTGTATTTGGATGGGGGAGACAGACATCCAACAACAGTTTTGCAAGTCCGAGATTGGAAGCACAATTGGCATCTATGCAGGACGAGTTTGAGAAGGTCATTGCCGACTACCAGGTCTCATCCAATGAACGCATCAAGCACATGACCAACGAGATGCTGATGCTGGGTCACTGTGATTCCAACTCACACAGCCCACTGATGGTCGACATCCGAAGCCGTGCAGCAAATCCGGAGAGAAACTATTCTCGGACCAAGGAGTTTTTCAAGGGCAAGAAACATGGAAGCCGTGGAACCAACACTCGCGCAGCAATCAAGGATGGAAGCGTTGCAGCGATTCGACCTGGAGAGATTACGATTACGGCAGTCAGTCTGACAGCAGCTATCATTGGTATAACAAGAAATGATAAGCTATTGCGACTGCCACCTTTGGCAACCATCCAGACCTCCTTTGGTCTTCATGATTTGCCAGGGATAAGATTCTCAGAAGCTTGATTGCGAGAGTTCACACGAAACCGCCACTACAAATCACGAAAAATTGATCCTCATCGACGACAAGACTATTTTCAGTGAGAGATCAATAGTTTCACATCGACCCCGCATGAACCAGTTGTCACCAGGACTTTTCATCCGCGCAGCAAAAAGGATGAATCAAATATTTGAATGGCTACGGCAGAAAACAAAGGCTACGGCCAAAGGCCAAGAAGCCAGAAATTACGTAGTAATTCAGTGCTGGAGATCAAAAGAAACTTGTGTCTGTTTTGTGGTTGATGTATATCTTGATCTCCATGCAACCATCTGGCTCAAGGCCCTTTTCTTGTACATTCTTGCAGGCCGCTTTCAGTGAAAAACAGTAATCAGAGCCAGCAGGGACTGTCCATTCTCTTGCACTCCATATTGGCATATTGGATTTCCTGCGTCCTCTAAGCCAGCCCAAAAGGAGCCGCATCAAACATAGACACCTCACCTGCTGAGTTCAGGAAGCTTTCGTCTTTTTCAAGTCATCAAGTCTGACACTCCCAGGAAGGGATTTCTGTTTGAGGCATGAACTAGATTGCCGGCCGCCCAGGCCCTCATGTTCAGACGTGAAGTTCAGACGGGGGCTGAGCAGAGGGGATGTTCTGTGCGAGGCACAGGTTTGAAGAACGAAAGAAATTCACCGAAAAGCTTCACCGTGGTTTTTCACCGCCTCGTGCATCACCTCAGTGGTCAGTGCTGCATGATACCAGTGTGAGGGGCCTAAATTGGAGCGCCCTAAATCAGAGAGGCGGACAAGAGAAAACTTGTGGCTAAGAGACTGTTTGGCTTTTCTTCTTTCGTCTGGGCGTGGTTGCGCTTGTAGCCCAGCCTGCTAACCTAGACTAGTAGCGCCTGGAAAACGAGCGCTGCCTGTGGCATACGTAGCAGACGCCCATTAGGCGCAGGGTCCACGAGCGCTCCCTCACAAACTCACTGAGGCACTTCTGCAGCAAGTAACCTTTTTCAAAGAAGCCAACTCTTTCTCAGCAGGGATTGGCGACTTTCGCTGGCGCAAACTGGCATGCCTTTTCTTGGTCCCGTGAAGAACATTCGGGGGCGGCAGCCATGGGAGGCGCGTCTACCGAGGGCGGCGGGCCTGAGAGCCGCTCCCTGGAGTTTGTCAAAAAAAACACACGAAAAATCCACCGCGCACTTCTGCAGGCACAGCACACAAGAATTCTTCGGACTCCTGTGCCAGTGCAGCTACCGTTCCTTCTGCGCAGTGCTCGAGAGTGAAAAAGGGAGTGGATTGGTGCTGAGAATGGTTTCGGTCGAACCCAGGCCAACGCATTTGCATCTGTGCAGGCTGATCGCAGTCTCAGCAAAAGGTGGTGTGTTTGGTTATTTACCCGTGTGTGTGCTTGGCGTCTGTTCTGTGATTCCTTGCACGTCGCTTGTAAGCCATGCCTAGGACAAGGCTGATGACGGCGAGACGAGCAGCTTTGATGCGCGCTCACTTAGTGAGACGAAAGTTCATGCGCCGGAGGGAGCGATGGGCACTCAGGTCCCCAGGCCAAGGTGGCGGCGCCGCCACTTCTTCACTGTGGGCCTTGTAGGCGAGCTTGGGGTGCAAAAGGCTTACCAGCAGTGTCTATCATTTGTTTTGCTTGTGATTGCGAGAAGCAATCGCTTTGGGAGGTAGGCAGTCGTCAAACAAGACGTTCAGCCTGAAAGTCAAGCGTGTTAGATATTCTTTGCAGACAAACAAACGGACGGACGGAGGGAGGGAGGGAGGGAGGGAGAGCGAGCGAGTGGGAGAGAGAGAGAGAGAGAGGGAGAGAGAAAGAGCGCAAGTGTGAAGATGACCTCCTTGTTGTGGGAGTCAAAACATGTAGCACTTCCGTTTGGTTACACACCCTGGAATGGCTTTGTTGCTTGCTGAAATTCATGCATCCCTTGAATTTGTGCGCAGGGCGTACGAATGCCAGGAGCATTGCTGGTGGTGGCTTGGCTGCGCAAGCGCTTGGACCTCGGGGTTTTGTTGGGGTTCGGCTTCCGGCCCTTGCGGGCACGCTCAAGTTGCATGATGCAGAACTTAGCATACGAGGTAGATTTGGTTTTTTAAGTCTTCCTCATGGTTGATCAGTCCACTTCACTTTGCGAGAAAGCTGAGGCCATTGCCGCGGCTTTCCACTAGCCGCGACCTGAGCATGTTCCACCTTCATTCTGCCCGTGCCAGTCAGTACTTTGCGGAGACAATCCTGCTCTTTGCCAAGTATAAAGGAGTTTGGCTGCTTTGCCTTCCTTCTGTTTGTTCTGCAGTCCCCGCGTAGGCATTCACGTGGGCTTTCAAGGCATTTTGAGTACTTAGGCCTATTTAGGCCTTTTCTAGCAGCCAGATCCTTGGACAGATGTGGTGTATTGCAAAGGTGATCTTAGAGGGGCTGCCAAAACTGCACTTGTACTGAACAGTTGCAATAAACATCTGCCCGCGTAAGCACCTTGAAGCTGACTGGTGCTCGCGCAGGCACCAGGCTCGCGCTTTTGCGTAGGCGTGCAAGGTGTGTATAGGCCCCGAACCACTTAAAAAACACTGCTCATATCAGCCGGAGGCTTGTTTTGGACGCGACCGTTTGTGTGAAGGGAGTCGGCGCATCTGGCAAGGTGTGTACGACGCACGCCTGAAGGACATCTCGATTGGCGAGGCGCTACGTGGCTCAAGAGTGGGTGACTTTGGCTGGGAGCTGCATGGGCAGGAGGCCATCGACGTGTTTCATCCGGCAATGAAGCACTGCGGTATTGTGTAGAAGACGCTTTAGAGCTGTTCGGACCAATTTGAGGATCAGGTTGCTGTTTGATAGTCTTTTTTGGGAGGAATCGTATTTGCATGCTGGTCATGTTGTTACAGCGCACAGCATCAGAAAGACTAGTTTTTGCTGAAGATGTGCTGCAACAACTGATCTTCGCAACAATCCGTGAATTTGGCAAACGCCCTTTGAGATGCTTTGCCACCCTGAAGCCACAGAGCAAGAGTGTGCTGGGAGATTGAAATTCTGCAGCCACTGGCTGGATTGGCTACCAAGTGTTGGGCGAAGCCGGCCTTGCTTCAGGTGTAAAATCTGCGCTTGAAGGCGCTCGGGAAACAAGCCGAGCCTATTTGAATGCTGATTCAGCCAGGAACCTGCTCAAAATGGCAATCACCATAAATTTGATGCCACCTTCACCGGGAAGGCTTTGCGTGAATCTTTTGAACGGGATGAGTTGCATTTGAATTGAAATTATTTCTGCGACAGGTCTTGTTCTCCCAGTAGCAGACTGACACACGGTCACTTGCGCAACTTGCGCAACTCATCCTGGCAGTTTGCGCAAAATCAATTTTCCAGGTCCTGCTTCGGCAGCATGATATGTTGCACAGGTCCTGTGTGTGTGTGTGTGTGAGTGCGTGTGTGTGTGTGTGTGTTTTTGTACTAAAGAGCTGACTTGCTCATGGAATGCAGCGGCAATTTCGCTCTGGCCAGCTGGCTTGTCAGAGTCCCTTATTTCTATCTGAGTTTCCATGAGATGCTTGTAGTCTTGGTCATTCCCCAACTGTGTTGAGCCACTGGCCTTCGGAGTCTCAGCTCACATGTGAGATCCGTTTTGCAAAGTGTGCCTTGTCGCGCTGTGCTGAAAACCGCTCTCGGTCGTGTTGAAGACGCAACGTGCTCTTCCCGTCTGCCTGCATGGACAGCTCATTTGAGCTGGTGTTTTCTCTGTTGGAGATGCTTCTACCATCTTCTACTTGATGCAGGTGCTCTATTGTCGTGGTTCTTTGTCACATTGGTTGTTCGAGTCCTTTGACGTATTCATAATTGCAGATGCTCAGGCTGCATTTGAATGCTCTTGCCATGAATATGATTCCAACAAACTGTGTTTAATGCGCTTTCCAGCGGCGCGCGCCACTCCTATCATGCAAACTTGTTGCCGTGTCAGCGCCGTCAGACCCTATAGAGTCGGCTCACAAAGGGCAACAACGGGTTTTGAGCAAAGTGCTGGAGTTTCAAACTTTCAAGAGTCCCAAATCATGCTGCGAAGATCTGCAAGCAGAGACACGCTAGCAACAGCATGCTGGTACTTGTGCGGGAGTCTTTTGGGAAACCTGTCTCACGCATGGCAACTTCTGTGCAGCCAAGAGCTACAGCAGCAAGGTGACGGTTGCTGCGAGGGCCATGAAAGATCTCCTAGCTTCACCAGGTCTGGCTGAAAGTTGACGTGTATTGACAGAGACCTGTTGATTTATTTTGTGCTTTCATGGCCGTTCGGCGTAAGTCAGCACGTAAAACGCCTGGCCGTCGGTGCTGGTTTAACGGTTTTCCCACACATGTGCAGGCGCAGGCCGCCGGCATGAGGCCGGTGGCACACCACGCGCGCAAGCCGATTGTTGTGCACGCAGCTTGAGCACTGTATGCACCAAGTATGGGTTGGTGCAAATTGCCATGACATAGCAAGCTTCTTTGGCGGTGACTCGGAACGAGGAGTGGACGGAGTCCCCAGTGCCGCCTGGTTGGCAGCCAGAGATTTGGCAGCCTGGTCGTGTGCCAGTGCTTTGGTCTGCATCCAGATGGCAGTGACAAGCGCCTTATGCCAACCAAGCACTCGCCTGGGCTTTCATGGAGTGACACATGGAGAATTTTGTTGACCACAATGCAGAACATGGGAGAGGCTCACGGGGTTTTCAGCCAGCTTCAAAAACACTTGTGTGGTTCGGAGTGCCTATTCCTCAAAGGTCCAAGACTTCTACCCTTAAGGTCCTACCTCTCTGGAAGTCAGGGTCGTTTGGAGGATTTTGTTTGGTGGCAAACTAGGGTACTAGCTTGAGAGGACGACCAAGCAATCGTTCAACCGCCTATGTTCCAGGGGCAGCGAACCTTTAATATAAGTTGAGTGTATGTTGAAAAATGCTCGCTGTATACTGACCTTCAACCAACTTGATTGGTGCTTTGCCCTTCTGAAATGGGGACTTTGAGTGCATCATTCAAAATTTAAGGATTCTCCACCAGTTCAAGCCACGACGAACAATCTAAACTTTGAGCAGCAGTCCTGGAGTTCTGAAGCTTGAGCAGCCATTTCTCAAGCTTTGCCTTTGTGCAACGCACGCCGTGCACTGCGAAACAATGAAGGCTGGGCCAACAACGTGCCATGCTCTGCGCGTTTGCTGAGGGCCCCCCCCCCGGTAAGAGGGAATAGTATGTATCATGTGACCGGGCAATGTTATGCATTTTTATCATCATGTTCATCATCATGTGCATCATCATCATCATCATCATCATCATCATCATCATCATCATCATGTTTATCATCATTGCTTTTTACTCATCAGTTTTTCCATTAGTTGTTATCATCATGTTCATCATGATGGTTTGGGCAGGGCTCGGATGATGATGACGATGATGATGATCATGATGATCATGATGATGTGATAAACATGATGATGACAATGATGATAAGACTGATGATGAACATGATGATAAAAAACAAAATGATTATAAAAAGGAGGATGATGATCAGTTGGCCAGCCAGGACCCCTGGATTTTCATTTTTCATGTTTTTCATGTTTTGTTTTTCAACTTTCTCATTTTTTTCTTTTGGCCAGAATTGAAAAAAACATGAAAAATTGGAAAATCCAAGACCACGCCGTTGTTCCATTTTTTTCAATTCTGGATTCTATAGACAAAAGAAAAAATGAAAAAAGAATGGGAAAAAGAAAAATCCAGAGGGTCTGGGAAGGGCATGATGATGAACATGATGATGATAAACACAATGATGAAACCCTGGATTTTTCATTGCTTTTGCATTGTTGGTATATTTTTTCAGTTTTTCCATTGTTTCCATTTGTGTCTTTTGGCCAGAATTGAAAAAATGAAAACCATGAACAAGTCGAAGTCTTGGATGTTCCATATTATTTTCATATTTTCTTAATTCTGGCCAACAGAAACAATGCAAAACATGAAAAACTATTCTTTGCAAAATATGAACAATGAAAAATCCGGGTGGTCCAGGCTGGCCAACTGATCATCATCATCATCATCATCATCATCATCATCATCATCATCATCATCATCATCATCACTTTTTATCATCATTTGTTTATTATTATTATTATTATTTTCTATCAACATGTTTATCATCATGTGTATCGTCATTTTTATCATCATGTTCATCATCATTATTGTCATCATTGTTAGTTCCATCATCATTTTATCATCATGTTCATCATCATCATCATCCGAGCCCTGCCCAGACCCCTGGATTTGTCATGTGTGTGTTCAATGTTTTCATGTTTTTCAATTTTTGCAATTTGTGTATTTTCCTTTTGGCCAGAATTGGAAAAAAACCAACAAAAAAACACGTAGTCTTGGATTTTCCATTTTTTCATGTTTTTAAATTCTGGCCAAAAGAACAAATGGGAAAAATAAAAACAAACGGAAAGAATGAAAAAATGAAAACATGAAAATACAGGGGGTCCAGGCTGGACAACTGATCATCATCATCATCATCATCATCATCATCTTCATGTGTTATCATCAATTTTTTTTATTTTTTTTTTATCAACATGTTTATCATCATGTGTATCGTCATTATTATCATCATGTTCATCATCAGTCTTGTCATCATTGTTAGTTCCATCATCATTTTATCATCATGTTCATCATCATCATCGTCATCATCATCATCATCATCATCATCATCATCATCATCATCATCATCATCATCCGAGCCCTGCCCAGACCCCTGGATTTGTCATGCGTGTCTTCAATGTGTTCATGTTTTTCAATTTTTGCAATTTGTGTATTTTCCTTTTGGCCAGAATTGAAAAAAACCAACAACAAAACACGTAGTCTTGGATTTTCCATTTTTTCATGTTTTTAAATTCTGGCCAAAAGAACAAATGGGAAAAATAAAAACAAACGGAAAGAATGAAAAAATGAAAACATGAAAAATACAGGGGGTCCAGGCTGGACAACTGATCATCATCATCATCATCATCATCATCATCATCATCATCATCATCATCATCTTCATGTGTTATCATCATTTTTTATTTTTTTTTATCAACATGTTTATCATCATGTGTATCGTCATTATTATCATCATGTTCATCATCATTCTTGTCATCATTGTTAGTTCCATCATTTATTTTATCTTCATGTTCATCATCTCATCATCGTCATCAGCTCATCATCATCATCATCATCATCCGAGCCCTGCCCAGACCCCTGGATTTGTCATGTGTGTCTTCAATGTGTTCATGTTTTTCAATTTTTGCAATTTGTGTATTTTCCTTTTGGCCAGAATTGAAAAAAACCAACAAAAAACACGTAGTCTTGGATTTTCCATTTTTTCATGTTTTTAAATTCTGGCCAAAAGAACAAATGGGAAAAATAAAAACAAACGGAAAGAATGAAAAATGAAAACATGAAAAATACAGGGGGTCCAGGCTGGACAACTGATCATCATCATCATCATCATCATCATCATCATCATCATCATCATCATTTGTTATCATCTCTTTTTTTTGTTTTATCAACATGTTTATCATCATGTGTATATATCGTCATTTTTATCATCATGTTCATCATCATTCTTGTCATCATTGTTAGTTCCATCATCATTTTATCTTCATGTTCATCATCATCATCGTCATCATCATCATCATCATCATCCGAGCCCTGCCCAGACCCCTGGATTTGTCATGTGTGTCTTCAATGTGTTCATGTTTTTCAATTTTTGCAATTTGTGTATTTTCCTTTTGGCCAGAATTGAAAAAAACCAACAACAAAACACGTAGTCTTGGATTTTCCATTTTTTCATGTTTTTAAATTCTGGCCAAAAGAACAAATGGGAAAAATAAAAACAAACGGAAAGAATGAAAAAATGAAAACATGAAAAATACAGGGGGTCCAGGCTGGACAACTGATCATCATCATCATCATCATCATCATCATCATCATCATCATCATCATCTTCATGTGTTATCATCATATTTGTTTTATCAACATGTTTATCATCATGTGTATCGTCATTATTATCATCATGTTCATCATCATTCTTGTCATCATTGTTAGTTCCATCATCATTTTATCTTCATGTTCATCATCATCATCGTCATCAGCATCATCATCATCATCATCATCCGAGCCCTGCCCAGACCCCTGGATTTGTCATGTGTGTCTTCAATGTGTTCATGTTTTTCAATTTTTGCAATTTGTGTATTTTCCTTTGGCCAGAATTGAAAAAATCCAACAAAAAAACACGTAGTCTTGGATTTTCCATTTTTTCATGTTTTTAAATTCTGGCCAAAAGAACAAATGGGAAAAATAAAAACAAACGGAAAGAATGAAAAAATGAAAACATGAAAAATACAGGGGGTCCAGGCTGGACAACTGATCATCATGTTCATCATCATCATCATCATCATCATCATCATCATCATCATCATCATCATCATCATCATCATTTGTTATCATCTTTTTTTGTTTTATCAACATGTTTATCATCATGTGTATCGTCATTATTATCATCATGTTCATCATCATTCTTGTCATCATTGTTAGTGGCTCGGTCGTCCTGTAAACGCGCGTTTTTTTTGGTTCTTTCCCCCCTGTAATGGCCGCAAAAACGCGCAAATCATATGGTTTTCACAGGTTTCGTGCATGTCCGGCCACTACCACGTAAAACGCGGGAATTATGTGGAAATTCACACTCACGATAGGCACGCCCGCTCAAGTGCACCCGCGCAGCACTGCATCCATGCCAGCCAAATGGTAAGAACACCCGTTCAAGTGCACCCGCGCAGCACTGCATCCATGGCAGCCAAATGGTAAGAACACCCGTTCAAGTGCACCCGCGCAGCACTGCATCCATGCCAGCCAAATGGTAAGAACACCCGTTCAAGTGCACCCGCGCAGCACTGCATCCATGCCAGCCAAATGGTAAGAACGCCCCCTCAAGTGCACCCGCGCAGCACTGCATCCATGCCAGCCAAATGGTAAGAACACCCGTTCAAGTGCACCCGCGCAGCACTGCATCCATGCCAGCCAAATGGTAAGAACACCCGTTCAAGTGCACCCGCGCAGCACTGCATCCATGCCAGCCAATGGTAAGAACACCCGTTCAAGTGCACCCGCGCAGCACTTGCAAAAGTGCACTCGCTCAGCGTAAAAGAACACCCGTTCAAGTGCACCCGCGCAGCACTGCATCCATGCCAGCCAAATGGTAAGAACACCCGTTCAAGTGCACCCGCGCAGCACTGCATCCATGCCAGCCAAATGGTAAGAACACCCGTTCAAGTGCACCCGCGCAGCACTGCATCCATGCCCGCCGAATGGTAAGAACACCCGTTCAGGTGCACCCGCGCAGCACTGCATCCATGGCAGCCAAATGGTAGGAACAGCCGTTCAAGTGCACCCGCGCAGCACTGCATCCATGCCAGCCAAATGCTAAGAACACCCGTTCAAGCGCACCCGCGCCCAAGAGAAGCCACATCATCCAGTTCGCCACGAAACGGGTCCATGGCAAGCCTGGCTTGGTGCCTCTTTTG